ACTTCATAGAGGTACTCCGTGATTCTGCCTAAAATACCACCACGTCTTACCACATCTTCCCTGTGGCAGTGCTCGTTTCTATACTCTACTCAACAACAATCCCATGTCTATCACAAAGCATTTTTCATCTAGTCTTTACTTTCTCTTTGCCTCCTCTTAATCAAACTGACAAAACTAACGCACATTCCAAAGGCATCAAGTAGAGTTGCTAAAATGAAAAGTAGACAGCAGAGAAGCACGCTTTTGCACTAACCTTTCATGTCTAAAAACATGGATTCAAATATAAATCAAACACTAAAGCTTGGTAGCTGCATCCAAAACCCCAGGAGGATATGCATTCTAGTCATAAAACTCTTATAATATGACAAGCTGAAAAACAGAGCAGATGGGAACAATGGGTAAATTTGTTCAAGTAAGGCCCACAACCACTAAAAGCCTAGGTCATGGACAATGAAAGTTTAATAAATGTTTCATAAAAGTGTGATCTTTCATTATTTTCGTAAATCAGTTCAAAAGGAAAGACACCGTACTACTAAAAATTAATTATGGAAACTTAGAAATGGGAAAAAGAAGAGAATGGGGCAGGGAGCAGGGGTGTGATAGTATATTTAAATATATTCATTTCTTTCTGTTCCCTACTAGAAGTCTAAGAAATTCAAGTAATAAAAAGTAAGGCTTAAACTGAGGAAAACAGTTTTGTTTCCTTTTCTCATACTCATTTTTCCTCAAAGCAAAACTAGGCAAATTTGCAAAATCATGTAAAATCATTAAAGAGGTTAATTTCACTAAACTCATTCTGAAACGATTGGACTTCTAAACATGGCCAAACTTGAAATGCAGGCTTTTAAACTTCAGCTATTCATACAGCAGTCAGAATTCAACTTTAATAGGTGAGCAATAAATCAGAAGAAGGTTAAGTTCAGCTTGTAGTGGAAGTTATTTGCTTAATAATTATCTAACACCATCTTTTCACAAGACATTAAATAGTTAATCTTCATTTTACAGTCCTCTTGTCCATTATCCCTAGGCAACCAAGACTGAAATAGTTCTGTAAGTGAGTAAACTTTCTTATACTATGGTTTAAAAACTGTCACTATGCTATTTATTTAGGCTCACAGGTACCATGCATAGTAAACATGCTTTGCTATTATTAAGATTTATGCATACCTTTTTAGTCTTAGGCCAACTGTCTTCTCAACAATTAGAAACAATCATAGTAAATTCACGGGATGGAAAATAAAAGTGCAACAAGAAATAAGCCATTTGATTCTAACTACTTAACCCTCGTCTACTTGAATACTAATATCTTTCCTTAAAATGGTCCTGTGAGAAATACAAGCATTACATCTTTGTTCCTTCTGTATGAATATGGAAACAGGGAGCATACAAATTCTTTCCCATGTTTAAAAGTTTATTATACCTATCACAATTTCAAAACATTTTGAGAGAGTGACGATCTAGCTCAACAACTTTTTTAAATGTGTAATCAGAAAAAGAGAGAAAATTATCAGAAAAATAGCAGATACTGTTGTGGCACAACTGTAAGAACAAAATAAGTATCTAAGTATAATTTGAAGTTAAGAATATAAGTATGATGATAAATTTAGTAAAAATAATTTTAAGTTAAGAATGTAAGTACCAAAATATACTCTCTCTGGTAAGTTAGTAAATTAACTAACTTAATTTACTTATTCTCTTACTCTCTGGTAACAGAGTAAATTAAGACCACAGAAGTATCAAAATAAATTTTCTCAAGTATAAGGCAAGACCATGTTTTAGGTGAGGAAAGAGTTGTTTTTCAGGAAGCCTGTCTAAAAATTTAAGAAGCAGGCACTAATCAAACTACAAAATTAAGAACAAAGCCCTATTATTCACCTTAGGCAAGCCCTATGCAACACTTTACCCGAGGCATACATATTGCAGAAAAAAAGTAATGACACGAAAACCATACATTCACAGTTGAAAATTAATAACCACAATTTTATTTTCTACTAAGGTAATAACTATGAAACCCAGGTAGATAATCCCAATTATTTCCTATGTCAGTACTTTTAGAATCAATTAAATATAAAGAGCTACACGAGACCATAAAAATAACCCATTCTAAACACCTGATTTCGCAGACTCAAAAATTATTTTCCCCCAGTTAGTGGAATGGCCAAAACTGTGACTCATAGTACAGTGCTTTTCCCAAGTTTTCAATTTTGTCAAATCTTAAGATACAATTTTTAAAATACATTTCTCTTCAATAGCAGTTGGGATATACAGCAGTTCTGATACCTGAAAAATCACAATCAAGTGCTCTATCAAGAAGAAGGGAGTATCGAGTTAACTCAATACGTCAAGAAATAAAAAGAGCTTTCTTCAAAGAGGAAGCAATTTCTTAACAATGCTACAAACAGGATGTATTTCTCCCCGTTAAAAAGGTAATTACTCAGGCCGGGCGCGGTGGCTCAAGCCTGTAATCCCAGCACTTTGGGAGGCCGAGGCGGGTGGATCACAAGGTCGAGAGATCGAGACCATCCTGGTCAACATGGTGAAACCCCGTCTCTACTAAAAATACAAAAAATTAGCTGGGCGTGGTGGTGCGTGCCTGTAATCCCAGCTACTCAGGAGGTTGAGGCAGGAGAATTGCCTGAGCCCAGGAGGCGGAGGTTGCGGTGAGCCAAGATCGCGCCGTTGCACTCCAGCCTGGGTAACAAGAGCAAAACTCCGTCTCAAAAAAAAAAAAAAAAAGGTAATCACTCATTTTGATAGTTTCTGTTTAGTCTTTGGGGAACATAAGTTAACACTAAGGCAAGCTGTCACAGCACAGCAAGCTCTGATGTCTCCACGCCATTCAGAAGTTAAAAATACAATTCGATTAAGGACAAAAGAATGTGGAAAAGAACTAAGCTCCCATTACTATCAGAAGGACTGTAAGATGCTTACTCTCATTAATTTTTATTCCCATTTTAAAGATCTACAAACCAATAAAAACTTATCTGAAAACTGTTAACCATTCTGAGCAATACAAACAGCACATAAATTTTAATAACTATCTCCTGAAAAAGTAGGATCTATTTGGCATACTGTAATATAAAGAATTTAGACTAGCAATAATGATTGTTACCAATTAACAAAAACATTAACAAGGCTTCCTTCCTACACTTCATTTAGCTCTGCACATGCTTAGTCATCATTTCTAGAGTTGCTCATGTGCACAAACAACTAAAAGACAAATATGAACAAGCATTAGGGTTATTGTTTCAATCACAAAAAAAGGTGATTATAATTAAGTCACATCTTTTTTCTACCATAAAATTCAAAAGATTAGAATGAGAAATATGTACTACTAATGTACTACATTAAAAAAACCAGAAGTCCAACTGGAACTAATGTCCATGATTATACTCCATACACTGATGACTGAAAAATGTCATAGCTGTTAAAAAATTATTGTTTAAACCTTCCATCAAAAATAATTTGGGAAAAAAATTAGAAACCTGTGAACAGAAGCCTAAATAATGTGTTTCACAGAGAAACAAATTAGTTACATGGTGCAACCTATAAAGCTTTATATTTCTTGACTCTGGCCGTTCCCCCTCAGACAGAATTTCACCTACAATATCAATCATAATGACTACTCTTAAAAGACAGTTTAAGAGCTTTTTAAAAAAATACATTATTCTTTATTCTTTTTAAATTTAACCTTCTTCATATTATAGTGACCCACAGGCTATAAATGAATTGATTCTAATAAAATTTATATTAACTATTCAATGTTTGTAAAAGGGGCAGAGAGTAGCTCAAATGAAAGTTCATCCCTAAGATCAAGTCTTAAAGGTAGACATGTGAAAAGCTCAAGACATTCCTTATATCCCATGTCAGAACGCAAACAAAATCTCAGAATGAGTAGAAAAAAATGAATATTAAATTTTATTTATTTAATTATGTATGGGTGACATAGAAAATAGTATACTGGTCAATACAGTTATGATGTTGCTAGGACATCATTCTTCCTTAAAAGAGCAATACAAAAAGACAAAATGAACTTGACAAAAATTCTATGTTGAAGCACGAAACCTAGCCAACCCAAGTACTTATTCTTCAAGACTTCTTCCATATGTGGGTAAAGGCAAAAAACTATTAAAAGCTTAGCAACAAAACTTCCTCCAGACATTAAAGAGGCACTTTACTATAAGACTACAAAAGAAAAATACATGTAATAATTACAAGAAAGTGTCTTAACCAAATAACTGTAAAAGGATCTTTAAACAGTATCTAACACAGTACTTTGTGAAAGGAGGTTCACAAAATAAATGACAGGGTTGCAATTTACACACAGAATAGAGTTTACTTTTTATATTTCTAAGTGAAAACACCTGACTGAACCGATTTTGAAACAAAAAGGTAGTAACTTCATCTGCTTACAAAGGCCGGGGTGGGGGAGTGTGAAGGAAATTTATACTAGTTAATTGTGTAAGTCATCTTCACTTCCAAACGGCATAAGCTTTTCTAGCATGTTACACTTGCAGTTTAAGCCTATGTCACCAGAAAAAGTGGGTGGTCATCTTGAAAGTATTACCAATGCTCCACATTTTCAAACCTGACAGATTTCTGGACATAAGGTCACATATTGTATGATTCCATTTATATGAATTTATAGAATAGGCAAATACATAGAGACAGTAAATAGATTAGTAGCTGACTGGAACTAACTGTAGGGGAAGAGGAAATGGGGAATGACTGTTAAGGGCACACAGTTTCTTTTAGGGGTGATGAAAATATTCTAAAATTATATAGTGGTGATAATTATACAACTCTGTAAATGTACTAACCCATCAGACTGTATGCTTTCCAAGGATGAATTTTATGGTATGTGAATTAAATTTCAATAAAACAATTATTTAAAAGTTAAATTTAGATTTTTTAAAAAATCTGATAGAATTCATAATGTCAAGGTATACTACAACAGACATCAGTCAGAGCTTCCCACCTGTTCCAAATGACTTTTGTACCTTGGCAAGGCGGCTCATCTGATCTTCTGAGACAGTGCTACTTGTTCTGCCAGGAGTTTTTGTGGGTTCTGATCCATCTGCTTCTACATTAGGCCAGACTTTCAAGTCATGCATCCCTTGGCGAAACATGCTAGGGAAAAAGAGAATGTTCAGGGTAGAAGTAAATTAATACAGTTCATTACAGGAAATTTTAAACTCCTAAAAATAAAGAGAATTCTACACACGGAAATGTATATCTCCACTGCCAAGCTTTTAGCCCCCAATGGAATGTAAAGCAATTAAGCAAGCAACTAAAATCCATGTCACACTGTTTTGCACATGCCATTCTTTTCTCCTCCAAGCAGTCAGAACTATGACAGAGAATCCTACACAACTGGAAGGAGAGAAGGATTAGAAATGAGCACACACATTTCATCACTTTGGTGAAGATCTAAGGAATAACAGAGATCAAATTCCTATTCAATGGAATAATGTCACATTTATAATGATTAAAATCTAAATTAAAAAAATTACATAGCTGCTTTCTTTAAATGACAATATAGTAGACTATACAGTCAAACTGCCTGTACCTGAATCACAGCTGTGTATTACCCACATAACCTTGACTACCTAACCTCTCTGTACCTCAGTTTCCTCTTTTATAAAATAGGATAAAAGGACTTATATCCCACAAAGTTATTGGAAAAAATAAATAAATCAGTACAAGTGAAAGGTATTTAGAACAGTGACTGACATACTGTTAAGTATTCAATAAATGTTAGCTATTACTAGTCCTTTTCCCGTACAAATTGCTTTTTCTTTTCCATAAAAGGCATGTTCTAAAAGTGAATACAATAGTAGATTCATGTGAAAACATTTCCCATGTCTATAAATCAGAAATTTAGCACATAGCCAGAATTTAACCTAAGCTTGGTTATCCTGCTTCACAGTGAAAGAATATATAACCTTTGTCATGTTTTCTTCAAAAAGCTACCAAGAAGATATAAAGATGAAACAAACTCATAAAGAGCTTTAGACAACTATATGTTGTAACTATGCTGCTGCCAAGTTTCCATGTTTTTTTCTAATGGGGAGGTTCAAGATATTCTCCTGTTAATGTATTTTCTTTTTTTTAAAATTTTCAAACAAGAACTTTCAAACATAAAGTCTACTCAAACAGCATCTACTCAAAGCTCAATAAGAAAGTTACTTCCACTCTTAGTAATAAAAAGACTATAGAAATTGCAATAGAAAGAGAAAGACTAGGAGTGTGTGTAGGTGAAAACGCAAGTCTAAAGCATTTCATACACTTTCACATTTAATACTTTAAAAAAACAAATAAGGTACAGCTTACGCATGGTGGCTCACATCTGTAATTCCAGCACTTTGAGAGGCTGAGGCAGGCAGACTGCTTGAGCTCAAGAATTTGAAACCAGGCTGGGCAACATGGCACAACCCCATCTCTCCACACACACACACACGCACAACACTAAAATTAGCTGGGTGCAGTAGCACATGCCTGTAGTTTTTGAAGGGCTGAGGTGGGAGGATTACTTGAGCCTAGGAGGACGAGGTTACTATAATGAGCCATGTTTGCACGACTGTACTTCAGCCTGGGAGACAAACTGAGACCCTGTCTCAAAAGAAAAAAAAAATCATCTACTTGACTGCTAAAGGTTAACAAAAATTTTTTCAAATCATTATTATAATGTTATGGCTAATAAAAAATGTCTTCTAGATTTTCCTAAGGTAATAAAGATTTTCACTCAACATTATATAATGTATGTAAGTAATGATGCCATAAACATTTAGATTGGGAACTATAAAAGATAGCTACAAACTCATGAGCACAATAAGATTAAGGACCGTATCTGTTATAAGGTCTCTAAAATTGGCAATAAAACAGGTAATTCCTGTAACTGTATTTGCAAAAGCTTACCTTATGGGCCCATACAAAATGCACTGACTGGTTGTGATGAATCAAAATTCTCAATATTTATTATGTTAAACATCAAAAGAAAGTTACAGTACAAAAACCACACATATACATGACTCTTATAAAGTTAATTTTCTTTCTCTTTCGACTGAGATATAGATTCAACATTAAGCAGACCTGCTTAGAGCAGTCTCTAAGGAACTATGTACAGTGAGATGATAATATCACTTTAAATAAATATCCTTAAATGTAGCTTCAGAAATAGCAGGCTTTTCTTCCTTCTCTCTACCTTCCCATCCCCCAGTGAATATTTTGGCTGGCTGAACTTAACTAAATCAAAAATAAGCACATTTGGCAAGAAGTCAGTTTACTAAATGATTTAGGTGCCTTGGGATGGATCTGGAGAAGAGATTTAAGGATAGGGGATGTGGAGGGTACAGGTGATGCCAAGTGACTCAAATAAGCAAGTGAACATATTACTTTCTTTCGACACTAATGGAACTTTGCAGAGAGTTACACAGCGTCCAGGTGGCAAGCCAGAAGATGCTCAGAGTATTGTGTCCACTTGGGAAATTAAGCCAAATAGGCAAGACAGAAGAAAAGCACAGCAGGATCTCCTTCTGACTCCAGCAGCGATCCCAGCAACAGCTGCTGTTGATATTCCAGCTTGCAGTGCCAAGCCACTACAGCAGCAACTGCCTTGACTTCCAGGATTCACATTTAGAAAAAACAACTGCAAGAGAAATCTGCACCTTGCCTGTGGTTCTTTGCCAGTTCAACCTATCAATCCATTTCGTAGCTACTTAGAAATTTCACAAGCTAGGCTTTCAAATTAAGGACGATAAATTATTCTAGCCTTATCCCTAACAAATCAGTCTTTCAACTGTTAATCAGACTAGTCTCCCATAAGTTCTGCCTCACAGACTCAAGTAAACAAAACAGATACCAGCAAACGGCAAGAGCTGATAGTCACAAGATTACCAATACTACAATGTTAGATGTCTTGAGGATCACTTTTTTTTTTTTTTTTTTTTTGAGATGGAGTCTTGATGTGTCGCCCAAGCTGGAGGGCAGTGGTGCGATCTCAGCTCACTGCAACCTCCACCTCCCTGGTTAAAGCAATTTCCCTGCCTCAGCCTCACAGTAGCTGTGATTACAGGTGCACGCCACCACACCGAGCTAAATTTTTTTCTATTTTCAGTAGAGACAAGGTTTCACCATGTTGGCCAGACTGGTCTTGAACTCATGACCTCAGGCAATCTGCCTGCCTTGATGTCCCAAAGTGCTGGGATTACAGGTGTGAGCTAACAGGTCTGGCCCTTGAGGATCACTTTTAACAGCTACTAAGTACATATCACAACACTTTAGGGGAAAAGGCTAGGGACAGTTGGTGTTACTTCATTGCATAAGAAACATGTGAGGAGTGTTACAGCTCTTTTAGAATTTGTCTAGCAGGCCTTCTGTTTTTTGCCGGAAAGCCCCTCCCACCCCGCCAAAAAAAATGAGAAACATCTGAGGAAACTACGGTTTAAGGTAGTGTTTCCCTAAGTTATGAGAATGGCAGTGGCATATAGCATGGCTTTTTTGTTTGTTTGTTTGTTTGTTTGTTTTATAGCATGGTTTTTGAGGACAGGTGGAAGAACATCTGCACAAGCTTCCTGCTGAGAAAACCCAGAATACTCGATTGCCCTGTCTCCCTGGATGGCAGCACCATGCAGGGAAGTAGCTGTGAGCCAGCAGCACAAGGAGATGTCAGCACTCTACCACAGCAACAGGAAAGCACAAGGAGATGTCAGCACTCTGCTGTACACCAGGAAAGCACAAGGAGATGTCAGCACTCTGCCATAGCACTGGGAAAGCACAAGATATCGTCAGCACTCTGCTGTAACACCAGGAAAGCACAGATGTCAGCACTCTGCTGTACACTAGGAAAGCACAAGATGTCAGGACTCTGCTGTACACCAGGAAAGCACAAGGAGCTGTCAGGACTCTGCTGTACACCAGGAAAGCACAAGGAGGTGTCAGGACTCTGCTGTACACCAGGAAAGCACAAGGAGATGTCAGCACTCTGCTGTACACCAGGAAAGCACAAGGAGATGTCAGCACTCTGCTGTACACCAGGAACATCCTAAACATCATCTTTCACAATCCAAAACTGCACAAGAAGACCCGTAGCTGCTTAGGACTGGGGAATGCCTGGCTTTTCTCCACTGTGAGGCAGCCCACCCACAGGGCAAGCTGCAGGACAGAGAGAGGAAAAAAAAAGTTGTTTTAATTTCATAGGGTTTCTTAGAATTCCTTCTTCTGAGGTGAAGGTCAGTACAAGCGCCAGCACAGGGGAAATAGGAGTTGGTGATTAAGCCTTTTTGCACTCCACTCCCTCAAAATATCTAGACCTATATTAAAATCTTATGTTACCTTTGTTTGGATAACTGCCCTACAACTATATAGAAGTTGAACTGATTAAAAATGAAAATGATGTAAAGACTGATTCTCCCCTTAAGCTGAGAGTGAGCTGAATGTCCTGCATATATCTGGCGATGGAAAACAGAACTATTCTAATTAAAGGACTTTTTGCAGACATTGTATGCATATTTTGCAAATCAAATAAATTTCATATCATTTGTATTGATTAAGTATTCTTTTGCTTCAATTTCTAAAATTTAATAGTATAGTTGTTATTATATTTAGTCTTACTATTACCCACTAATGTAAATACTAGTTTTCCATGTACAGCAGGGATATCAAGTTTTTTTTTTTAAAAAGTGGAAGTTCAAAAAATGTAAGCCGGGTTAAATAAAAATATCAAGTAAAGAACAATAGGCCAGGCATGGTGGCTCACGCCTGTAAACCCAGCACTCTGGGAGGCCGAGACAGGCAGATCACCTGAGGTCAGGAGTTCAAGACCAGACTGGCTAAAGTGGTGAAACCCTGCCTCTATTAAAAATGTAAAAATCGCCGGGTGCGGTGGCTCAAGCCTGTAATCCCAGCACTTTGGGAGGCCGAGGCGGGTGGATCACGAGGTCGAGAGATCGAGACCATCCTGGTCAACATGGTGAAACCCCGTCTCTACTAAAAATACAAAAAATTAGCTGGGCATGGTGGCACATGCCTGTAATCCCAGCTACTCAGGAGACTGAGGCAGGAGAATTGCCTGAACCCAGGAGGTGGAGGTTGCGGTGAGCGGAGATCGCGCCACTGCACTCCAGCCTGGGTAACAAGAGCGAAACTCCGTCTCAAAAAAAAAAAAAAAAAAAAAAAAAAAGTAAAAATTAGCTGGGCATGGTGGCAGGCACCTGTAATCCCAGCTTCTTGGGAGGCTAAGGCAGGAGAATCACTTAAACCTGGGAGGTGGAGGTTGCAGTGAGCTGAGATCACACCACAGCACTTCAGCCTGGGTGACAGAGTGAGATTTCATCTCAAATAAAAAAGAAAAATATACTTAGTAAAGAGATATGAATGGATTTTTTTTTTTTTTTTTTTTTTTTTTTTTGAGACAGAGTCTTACTCTGTAGGTCAGGCTGGAGTGTGGTGACACGATCTTGGCTCACCGTAGCCTCCACCTCCTGGGTCACTGTTCAAGCAATTCCCAGCTTCCCAAGTAGCTGGGATTATAGGCACACACCACCATACCCAGCTAATTTTTGTATTTTTAGTGGAGATGGGGTTTCACCATGTTGGCCAGGCTGGTGTTGAACTCCTGACCTCGTGGATCTGCCTGCCTCAACCTCTCAAAGTGCTGGAATTATAGGCATGAGCCACCTGGCCTAATATGAATGGAATTCTAAAAGTGATAAGTAAATGACTCAAGATGTTGAAATCAAGCTCTGAGATAATTTCACACAACCAGCACTTCTAACAGGTTTCATTTATATCGGGCATCTGATGTGTTTGGGATGTGAAGGAGTAGGATGACCTATTTTCCAGTTAGAGTTAAGAAAAAAGAGATGACTTTCCAAGATTCAAAGTCTTATTTTAGTTAATGGCAGAAAACAAATTTAAGTAACCACTCACTTATTGCTACTGCTCTCTTTATGGAAATCCTTGGAGTTTAATGACTTTTTAAAGTAGAACAAGTGCTACTGATTTGTCTTTAGGCACACTGCCAGCTTGGTTTGGATGGGAGGTAAAGGAATTTTCCTTTCACTGGGATATACACAGAATTACAAATAAAGCAGGGTACCAAGGGAAAGAGGAAAGAAAGAGGAATGCATGAATGCACGTATAAGTGATATAAATAGACTACTATCACAAAGATGAATTCAATGTTTCTCAAAATGTGGTACATAGGCTCCCTTTCACAGAATAACTCAAGACGCTTGTTTAAAATGCTGATTCTTGGGCCCCACCACGGACACAATGAATTAGTGAGAACACAGGAAGATGTTTTTCTCATAGGCTTCCCAGATGATTCTTAAACAAAGGTTGATCACTACTGATTTAACATAGTACTTTTTTAAAAATGAGCGGTGGCTCATGCCTGTAATCCCAGCACTTTGGGAGGCCGAGGTGGGTGGATCATGAGGTCAAGAGATAGAGACCATCCTGGTCAACATGGTGAAACCCCGTCTCTACTAAAAACACAAAAAATTAGCTGGGCATGGTGGTGCGTGCCTGGAATCCCAGCTACTCAGGAGGCTGAGGCAGGAGAATTGCCTGAACCAGGAGCCGGAGGTTGCGGTGAGCCGAGATTGCGCCACTACACTCCAGCCTGGGTAACAAGAGCGAAACTCCATCTCAAAAAAAAAAAAAAATGCCAAAAGCAAAACAAAGCAGTACCAAAAATCAATCTGAGACTTTATTTGGATTTAGGCAGGTCATTTCACTGCAATTCTGTGGAAATTCAATTGTCCCACACCTACATCCTAGACAGAAAATCCCCTAAAACTAGATCCTAAAGTCATCTAAAATGTATGAACACTAACACAGGTGTTTTTATGAGGAAATCTCCAGTTGATATGCCAGAAGGTAAACCACTTGTGATGAATCTGGGAGTAAAAACCAAGAGGAATGTTGGGTTATTTCTCAAAAACATTTAGTCACTAAAAAGAGCTGTACATTTTTTTTCTTGTCTGTTGCAAACAAGCCCCTCCCTAGTAAAGAAAAGTAAGGAGCAAACACTCTGTAAAAGGAACAATATTGATTTAGTAATATGTACATTCTGCTGTAACATACTATTTTATCCAAAAGTATATTTTAAAACTGAAGATTACAATGTTTCAGACAATATCTAAATTACTTTTCCTGTATGGATTTTTACTAATAAATATCCCTTTAATAGCAACATTAAACTAAAATACCTAGGTATTAGTAAGCAACCAAGCTATTCCAAATGGGATTACATCTAGATTTCACTGATGAGTTCAGAAGTCTTTCTGACACATTCTATTCCTGGATAAAACAATTTAATATTATAAAGGCATCAATTCTCTCTTTAATTAACATATATAATTCAGTAAGATTTTCTAACAAAATAACAGTGAGTTTTTTAATTGAAAAAATATTAAAATTTATCTGCCAAATCAAACCGGGAAATATTTTAAAAGAAAGACTAATAAAAATTATCTATATCTAATATTTAAACATTTTATAATTCTATCCTAACTGACAAAACAGCCTAGAAATGACACCAAATATTTATTGAGCTCATTGAACTCATTATGTTATTTATTCAATTCATAAATATATGACGTAATATTTATCAGGCCCATTAAATGTATGTAGTAATATAACAATCATAAACTACTCAGTTAGGTAGAAACCATTGTTTCTTTCATTCAACAGATGAAGACATTGAGGCATAAGATTAAATAATTTGCCCAAGGATACACAGGTACTAAGCAAGGAAGAGAAGATCTGAAGCCAGATAACCTACAACTTGCTTTCCTAACCACTGTAGCACTATAGACTATAATGCCTCTCTTAGACTTCAACACATGATGAATTGAGCATATTAAGGATGCTATTTTGAAACAGCTGGGTAAGATGGCTTATTTAATAAGTAGTGTTGGGACAAACAGACAAACCATTTGTTTCTGTTTTCTCTAAAAAGCTATTCTTAATATTATCACTCCTCTCACAAAAGTAATTTTAGATGAATCAAAGATTTTAATGCAAAGGAATAAAAGCATAACAGAAGAAAGCATTTTAAAGAATCTTAAATGGGAGCTTTCTAAAACATTAAATTCACAAGCCAAAAACTAAAAACTGATCAATTCAAGATAATAATTTAAAATCCATGAAGAGCAAACAAATACATACTAATTCAAAAGAACAAACCAAACAGGAAAAGCAATATTTATAATATAACCCACGAAAGGCTAATTGCATTAATCTACAAAGATTCCTTATATATCAATAAGAAAAACGACAATTCAAAAAAAAAAAAAAAAGCAAAGCATTTTATGGTATGTGAATTATATCTCAATTTCTAAAAAAGGACAAAGTACATCAAAAAGCAATTCATGGAAACATAAACATAAATAGTGAACGAACACACCAAAATATGATCCTCCTCATACTTAACGATGTAAAAATTAAGTAACATTTTTTAACTTTAAAGCAGACAAAAATTAAGACAGTTGTAATATTCAGACAGATTAAGATCTATACCACTTCACAATGAAAGGAGCCAGAACTTCTTTCAGAGATTCCAGGTTTGGAGCAGGCCTGGAAAATGAGCTTGGAAAAACTTGTCTACCAGAAATCAAAGAAGCTACCACTCACTACTGGCGTACTGTCAAAAGAGCATGGTGTCCACTTGAAGCGACTCCTACTGACCAAAAAGTAAAGACAGCGGTGAACTAAAACATACTTCAAAATGTTTAAGCCAAAAGTTCATGACAAAACTTAAAAACAAAATACGCAAAAGCCATCAATCATCCCTTTGCAAGTTACTAGGGTACAAACTAAAGGGAAAGAAAGTTAAACATTTACCTGCCTTTCCTATATGAACTAACTAAATACACGATGAGGGCTAAGTTCTTTAGTGAAAAATTCCAATTAGTAAATGCAGAATAATAATAGAATATTACAAATTCTCTTAAGATAGACTGAGCCCTCTGTCCCAGGAAAAAAAGGATGTAGAGAAAATATCCTTTGGGATTACAGGATTTTTTATTTTAACAATAAACATCTAGTATTTGTAAATGTTTCAAAAACTAAAAAATCTTTTTTTTTTTTTTTTTTTTTTTTTTGAGACAGTCTCGCTCAGATGCTCAGGCTGGAATGCACTGGCACATTCTTGGTTCACTGCAACCCCCACCTCTGAGGTTAAAGAGATTCTCCAGAGTAGCTGGGATTACAGGTGGGCACCACCACATCTGGCTAATTTTTTTTGTATTTTTAGTAGAGATGGGGGGTTTAACCATGTTGGCCAGGCTAGTTTCAAACTCCTGACCTCAGGTGATCCACCCACCTAGGCCTCCCAAAGTGCTGGGATTATAGGCATGAGCCACCATGCCCAGCCTGAATTATCTTTTCTATCACAATCATTGCCATCATTAGCAAATGAAAGCTTTTTTAAATCCTGTTTTGCATCCTTTCTGTCAATATTATAAAAAGCAGATAAAACTTGTAACAAAGCAGTTATAGTACATGTCAAAGTCATTTCTTCCTAGAAGCAAGGTTCTATTTTCCAATGACTCCTATTTTCTACTAGAAATTGCATTGCCAATCACCAACAATAGAGCGATATAAACTGTATTTCTTAATCTATCTGCATATCCTATAGGAAATAAATGTTAAATTCAGTGTAAGGAATGATCAAATCATCTGTACCTAACTGGTTTTCACTGGAGACTGGGCATAAACTATTAAAGCCTTCACTCATTCTGAAAAAGAAAAGGGTCAGAAAGCTGCTACACTCCTACAGGTGAGAACAATACAACACTCACCCATATTTTCCAAAGAGTGAAACTGTTGTTCCTCCTACAGGCACTGCTTTTCCGGGTCCATACACATCCCATATGGTGAGGGCCACCTGGGCATTCCTGGGCAGGTCAGGGTATTTTACTGGTAGTTTTAGCCATTCATTCCAGCTATGGAAATAAAGTCAACATAAATATATATACATATACATATATCTTTCTTTTAAATTAACAAACCACACAAAAAGTTCTGGCCAGAGGAAAAGGTTCCAAAGTGTTAATACTCTGTAAGATATTATGGCAGTCACCTCAATTTTGCTAAAGACAACTTTCCATTTTAAATAATAGAAGACACAATTGTTTTAACAGAACTCATGAAAAACAGCTGGTAAATCCTTTAATCAAGAAAATCAGCTGGGCACAGTGGCTCAGGTCTGTAATCCCAACACTTTGGGAGGCCTAGGTGGGCAGATCATGAGGTCAGGAATTCAAGACCAGCCTGGTCAATACAGTTAAACCCTGTCTCTACTAAAAATACAAAAGTTAGCCAGGGGGTGGTGGCAGGCTCTTGTAGTCCCAGCTACTTAGGAGGCCGAGGAAGGAGAATCACTTAAACCCGGGAGGCGGAAGTTGCAGTGAGCCAAGATTGTACCATTGCACTCCAGCCTGCGTGGCTAAGTGAGACAGTCTCAAAAAGGAAGAAAAAAAAAAATCAAGAAACTCAGACAACATCAAGAGAATACAATGGTGAAAAAAACCTGGGAAAACATTACAACCTGTTAGAACTTTTTAAACACACTGTGATTTTCTTTGACCATTCTTCAAAACCCAATTTTACACTGTGAAGATAAAATAATCAAAATTACTCATACTCAAAAGTACTTCTGAGAATGATGAGTCAGGAAAAAAACAACCAAAACAAAACCTCCTAGTAGAAAATACCTTTATCACATGAAATTACCACACTGCTCGAGACAGACTTGTGACTACTTCTTATGTGAGAATTTTTTATTCCTCAAATTATTTCATTAATACTGATAAAATTAAGCTATTAGTGCCTTATGCCTTCAAAGCCCATCTATATGTATTCTCTCACTAAGAAATGTTTGTTAATGATAATATAGTTAATGACAGCACAGCTTTTTTTTAACCCTCTATACATTTATGTAAATTTTCTTATAAATTTAAATTTCACATTGTATTCATTTGATAATTTCAATCCTCTTCAAGAGCAGCTGGTTTTTAAATTCCGAAAGAATACTGTGTCAACAATATACAAACTAATATCTAGCAGACACATAGAATTCTATTTCTCTGTTTACTCAAAATTATTCTGTTCATTCAAAGGTATTATCTAAGGGATATATCCTAGTCTATGATAAATACATCTGTATTGTTAAAACATTTAACAAAATTTCCAAAAACTTAAACAAAAAATCATTTACATACACCATATAGAGATGGCTATCAATTTCAAGAAAAAGGAGTTATTAAATCCTTTTCTTCTATGAAATTAAAAAAAAAAAATCACATGCTTAAGAAAGCCAGTATCTACTACAAATACGCTCAAACAACTAAATGAAATTATTTAATTACTAGCCACATGGTAGAGCAGGCTAAAAAGAAGAGCACTACGCAGTGCCATCTTTTGCCAAGGAATAAACCATGGAGGTTAACTAAAGACAGCAATAAGCAATAATATCTAAAATTATTTGTCTGGATAATATTGTGAAATTTCTTATCCTGTAATCTGTCCTTTAATGACTAGGAGACAATACCAATGACCAACTAATCATCTGTATCAAACCTTTTGCTATCCAACACCAGGCAACAACACCTTTTTAAATCAAAGTAAGTGCACTTAATCGGTTTTATATACTAGGCTTCTGCAGAAGGGCTCTTTTGGAAAAAAAAAAAAAAATGATCCTTCAGCTAAAAAGTTTGAAAGCTGCTCTAGATATTCTAGAAGTTATAGAAAAAAATCTAGTCAGACACAAAAAAAGGTATATATTTTGGACACCACTTTGTTTTATTCCTCTTCACATATCATCCATACCCCATCCCCTAACCCTCATTAACCTTAAGATTACATTTATCTGGCAACAATCAAAACATGACAAGATTGCAAAGCCTAAATCTGGATGATCCAATCCCCACCGTGTACCTCCATCACGCATACCATTGTGCTAGCACTCACACTGATCCAAATATTTCTGAATCCTAACTTTGTAATTTCTGAATTAGATTGTATTATATGTCTCTCTAAAGCCACTTTCAAATCCTTTATGAGACGATGTGGAATGTAAGTGTTCTTAAAAATGTAAACTACTTCCCTGAAGAATAATATTCACATAAGAAAAAAGTTAAAAATTTGAAGTACCTACACCTAAAAATGAGAATTTACTTTAAGTGTAATTAAAGAAAGTACAAGTGTCCCTCATGGGATCTCTTAGTACAGGACAGAATAGGACACGATATAATAGACTTGAATAAATTTGGGATGAGTTCCTATTTATTAGAACTCTCACAACTCACAATCAGAAACTCAGAAATCAAACAGATTTAAATAACTGGGAATCTCATACTGCCCCTAAAATACTATCTGAACTAAAGAATGCAAAAATTTGGATAGCAAGAGATCCCTTTATGGTCTAATTTCTTCTTTCCAAGGTTTATATAATATCTCTTTTAAGCAAATACTTATAAAGAATAAGGATTATTTAAGGTTTTTACCTCCGTTCATTTTAGGATGGCAACTTTTGTTTTGATCAACTACTAATGAATTCAACTTTTGAATACTAAAGAGCAGGATGTATAAAATGTGCAAATGTTTTCTCTTAGTCTCTTAAAGAGTTTTGTTGTTGATGTTGTTTCTGAGACAGTCTCTGCCGCCCAGGTTGGAGTGCAGTCGCTCAGTCTCAGCTCACTGTAACCTCTGCCGCCTAGGTTCCAGTGATTCTCCTGCCTCAGCCTCCCATGTAGCTGGGATTACAGGCACCCACCACCATGTCCAGCTAACTTTTGTATTTTTAGTAGAGACAGGGTTTAGCCATGTTGGTCAGGTTGGTCTCGAACTCCTGACCTCAGATGATCCAACCGTAAAGTATTTTTTTAAAAAAGCCTATTCTCATGGTTTTTCACTCAAAATATGGTGTTTTCCTAAATGTATTTTCTACATAGCGTAGACATTTTCATTTCAAAGTCATTTTAAATAATTTTAGAGTACCTTCCTTATTAAGTACTTTCACAGTTTAAAAACTACAAATTTTAAAAATTCAAACTTTTAGAGGTCAATCATGGGAGTTTTCACATTCTTGCAAATATATAATATAAAAAATAATGCAGAGAAGAGTTGGTAAATGGGAGGATCAGAAGACCTTTAATCTTCCTCTAATTGAGAATTTGCTTTTGCTGTAATTTCCTTTTTGTCAAGGCATGGACCAGAACCACCATACATGTTTCCTCACCAAAAGGTTTTTGACCTTCTAGACCTAAATTTGTTACAAGTATTTTGTGAGTAATAGGTGACCTCAAAAATCTAATTAAAGCTTTGAGCTCTGTCCCTGAAAAACATACAAGACAAAAAATTCTGCATACACCTCCAGGGGTTTGAAGACTTCCTGATTCCAGTTTAAGAACCTCTGATGTCATCAAGGAATTCTGGTCCACTGTTCTAGGTGTGATGATGATACTACAGTTATGCTTTAAAAAGTTATACAGAAATACTTGCAGTTAAGACATTATAATGTTTGAGATTTGGTTCAAAATGGTGAGAATACAAGACTGGCCATGAGTTAACAGTAGGTATGTAACAGAAACTTAAGCATTCACTGTATTACTCTATATGTGTAGGTTTAAATTTTCCAGGCTAAAAAGTATTAAATACATACAGATATATTTTTTACATGTGCATGTGTATCTACATATACACATGTCTTTACACACACACACACACACACACACACACACACATATACATAGATATACAGATACCTCTCTACAAAAGACTTAAGAAATTATACCATTAAAATAGTTGGTTTTGATATGGCCAGATCACCAGAGTTCAGGCTTCTGCTCTCTGAAAACCCTTCTTAGCCACACTGGGTAACACCTGGACACAGAGGGTTGAACCCTCTATGGCACAGTCTGGTTGTCCATGTATGTCCTTAAAAGCATACAGCCTGTGCATCCTGCACTGAGCCTACCAGAGTGCTGAATAACAATCACTGATCAAACATCAGAACTGCACTATATAGTCTTTCAAATAATAAGTGTCAAGAGTAAGTTTAATGATCCACAATACTCTTCTGAAAAAACAGGAATTTCATGTTCATTGTATTTACCCTGCATCTTGACAATGTTTTGCTAGTGCACCATGCTGAATAAACCATGAATCTAAATAAATTAGTTTCATATGTAAAATAATAATAAAAACTTTACTGAAGAGATGACAATAGATCTCTCTAAAGATCTGAGCGCTAAACATCAGGTTGGACAATATTTCAAACTATCCAGAAGTATTTATGTGTTCAGGAGCACAGGATGGTAAAGAATTTTAAAATGCCACAGATGTGGTTTTGGTTTTAGTCCTGTAAATCAGTTAAGTACTTACCAAAATCTCAATATGCTAAATACAAAGATAAATCCATTTCCATTTCAATTGCAGTTATAATACCATATACATAATACTTTATCTGAGTATGTTTCTACTTTAAATTATTATCAATGCATATAGGATTCAAAAATTCCTCCATAATCCTACTAAATTACACTTGCCACATCCATAAAGAAAGTTAAGAACCGTCTGGAACATATCATATGCCAGAAAACCACTTACTTCCATCTTGTACTAAACGCCTTGTAGGATGTTCTCACTGGCAAGGCCAGAGGTTTCCCTTCTGCAAATACTTGACAAGTAACATAAAGGTCAGAGCACGTCTCTTGGTATAGTCCTGAAAACTTCAACATTGGGTCTTCTAGGACAGCTTTATAGCTCTTTTGTTCTCTCTTCCCTTCCAAGCTTCCTCTGAAAGCACAAGAGTAACAATGTTTTAGGTATGAATTTTTTAAGCATGTACATATATGCATAAGTAGTAAAAACGGTTTACCTTTGTGTCAAGGCAATTTTTTGCTACCTAAACAACATTTTCCTGTACGGTAAATTAATGTTACTTTTATGTAAGATAAGGGTTTCTTAAAATCCTAACATACCTACTATCAGTCCTATCTTCATCAACGCCTTTTTCGATTTCATACTTGTGAATTTTAAACGCTGCCACCAACCCTTAATCTACCCTCTGGAAGTCACCAGCTTTCTAGGCCTTGGTTTCACTTTCTTTATTTCAAGTTGACCACTTATTCATCTATTCTTTCAGGAAACATTTACTTATATTAGGCATAGAAGCCCAGAAGAAAAGATAAACAATACAGTATTGCAAGAAAATAATAAGTCATTGCTTCTGGGGAAAAAAAATTTCCTGGAAACTGCATGTTTTCATTCTACTCTTTACTTTTTTTTTTTTTTTCCACTATGCATTATCTGATCATTTCTTTTAAAAAATTAATAAAAGGTATGTACAGGAGACTATCACAGAGGGAGGAACATTTATTACACATCAAGATTACATCAGATACTGTCCCAGGCATTTTATATATTGTTTCTTACATAATTTTCACCATATTCTCATTTTTTAAATGAGGAAACAGAGACTTATAGGTTAAACTCATTATCCAAAGTCACAAAGTAAGTAACAGAGCTGAGAATAAACACTAGGGCAGGGAGGCCAAAGCCAATGTTCTTCCCATTATAGAAAGATAAATCAGAGTCTCAAGAGTACTTAGCCTGGCGTGTGGAAGGGACTTAGTATCCCAGATAAAATGTCTGAAATGATCCTGAACAATGCAACGCAAATGCGGCAGAAAGTCATCCCAAAGGCAAAGAACAGTATATGCAAAGGCAAGCAGGCAAGATGGTGTGTCTGGAGATGGGAAATAGCAAAAGCATAAAGCTCACATAGAGAAGCTACAGATGAAAACGAAAAATAGGGGCTAAACGATGAAACTAAGTAGCCACCAAATTCAGTACAGTGCCTGGTCAAAATGAACATTTAAAAATTTGTTAATGAAATTATCTGAAATGAGAGAGTAACATTATCAGATTTATATTTGTGATACTTTTGGCAGCAGTGTAAGCACATACTGGAGAGGTGGAACTGAAAGCAAGAAGACCCACTTAGAAGACTTTGCAACAAAATAGAAAGGAAAAAGGCATACTAAGGCTGGGCCAGTGAAATAGAAAAAGGAGCACGGAACAAAGAGCAGGCAGATTCAAGAGTGAGTGAGTGAGCAGAGAAGGCAAGAGGCGGGTGTCATTAAGACTCAAAGATTTCTGTGTTAACAAATTTGATGGACAATGCTATCACCAAAAGAAGTAAGCGAAAACAGAGTGATCAGAGTTAGAGGGATAGCAAATGTTGCGCTCAATTTTGGACAAGTGCTTTAGGACATCCAAAGTGACCACGTCTTGTGGGTAGTCTGATATTCAATTACTAAATGTAAGTTGTTATTAAAACCATAGAAAAAGAAAAATAGGGCTAGGTGTGGTGGCTCACACCTGTAATCCCAGCATTTTGGGAGTCAGAGACAGGCGGATCACGAGGTCAGGACTTAGAGACTACCCTGGCCAACATGCTGAAACCCTGTCTCGATAAAAATACAAAAATTAGCTTGGCATGTTGGCAGACACCTGTAATTCCAGCTACTCAGGGGGCTGAGGCAAGAGAATCACTTGAAACCTGAAGGAGGAGGCTGCAGTAAGCAGAGATCAGGCCACTGCACTCCAGCCTGGGCAACAAGAGTAAAACTACATCTCAAAAAAAAAAAAAAAAAAAAGAAAGAAAGAAAAAAAAAAAGGGCTGGGCGTGGTGGCTCACGCCTGTAATCCCAGCACTTTGGGAGGCCGAGGCAGGTGGATTACAAGGTCAAGAGATCAAGACCATCCTGGTCAACAAGGTGAAACCCCGTCTCTACTAAAAATACAAAAATTAGCTGGGCATGGTGGTGTGTGCCTTCAGTCCCAACTACTCGGGAGGCTGAGGCAGGAGAATTGCTTGAACCCTGGAGGCGGAGGTTGCGGTGAGCCGAGATTGTGCCATTGCAGCCTGGGTAAGAAGAGCGAAACTCCGTCACAAAAAAAAAAAAAAAAAAAAAGAAAGAAAGAAAGAAAGAAAAAAGGGCTGGGCGGAGTGGGAAAGAAAGAAAGAAAAAAGGGCTGGGTGGAGTGGCTCATGCCTGTAATCCCAGCACTTTGGGAGTCTGAGGTGGGTGGATCACCAGGTCAAGAGTTCAAGATCAGCCTTACCAACATGGTGATGAAACCCCGTCTCTACTAAAAGTACAAAAATTAGCTGGGTGTGGTGGCACACGCCTGTTATCCCAGCTACTCAGGAGGCTGAGGTAAGAAGATCACTTGAACCTCGGAGGCGGAGGTTGCAGTGAGCCGGGAAGTTTCAGTGAGCCAAGATTGCACCACTGCACCAGAGCTTGGGCAACAGAGAGAAACTCCGTCTCAAAAAAAAAAAAAAAGAAAGAGAAAAAGAAAAAGAACAAAAGGCGTAGGAGAACAAGCAGAATAAAAAATTTACTATTTTTGATTATAAGATTCTACATTGATACTTTCTGTCCCACTACCCCCACAAAAACCCAACAGTGGCAGTCTCAGAAACCATAGAGCCAAACCTCTGCTTTATGCTTTATCTTTGGATCAAAATACTTAAAGTATCTGTACATTAATGGACCATCTGGGCATGGTGGCTCATGCCTGCAATCTCAACACTTTGGGAGGCTGAAGTAGGTGGATTACTTGCAGCCAGGAGTTTAAGATCAGCCTAGCCAACATAGCAAAACCCTGTCTCTACTAAATTAACCAGGAATGGTGGTGTGCGCCTGTAGTTACAGCTACTAGAGAGGCTGAGGTGGGAGGGCTGCCTGGCCCATGAGGTAGAGGTTGCAGTGTGCTGAGATCATGCCACTGCATTCCAGCCTGGGCAACAGAGCAAGACCTTGTCTCCAAAAAAAAAAAAAAAAAAAAGGACCGTTTTTTTTTGTTTGTTTGTTTTCTTTATATTTAATGTTCAAACATTTCAAAAAATGCATCCATATATCCAAGAAATACTAAGCATTAAGACGGAAGGAAAGCCCTTTATCAATACCGATCCTGTATAAACTACTAGTGGTGTATGCTACAGAAAATACCTTAAATGGGTGTATAAAGTATCATACAAAGGTACAGGGTGGTTGTTGACTTATTACTTTTACCACCATCACCACAAACTTAAAAGTAAAGGATGTCTGCGAATAAGTGACTTCTGAAAATAAAATGATCATTCAAAGGTACATCTGACAACAGAGATAACTTACCTATCACTGCAGGCCTTTGACTGACACACATTTGTTGAATATTGACTGAACATATCTAAGAAATGTTTATTAATTATAGATGATGCTGTGGTCAATAATCTGTGGTAGCTTTGACAACACTTCTATAAGACCACCTTAAAAAGGACATAATTTCCAACTTCGTCTTGCCCATCCCTCATTATTGTACCAGTTCCATTATCCTCATCTCAAGATACCATGCTCTTGACCTTTACTTCAGCAGTAGTGCCCCAAAGTTTTCCTGCAAAGACTCTCTTCTCCTATCTTGTTGGTATTTTTGCAACTGGCACCCTCATCTTCTACTTACTCCCAACTTCCTTCCCTGCCTAAATACTGCCATACTACCCAGAAGTTCAACTTAGGCGTCCATCACCTCCCGTGCTGCTAATACTACACCATGTGTTCATCTTACTCTTGACTATCGCATCTCCCTGTGTCTACCTCTCCATAATTTCTGAAGCCTTCATTGCACCCTACAAGCCCCGTTCTAAAATAAAGACCGTCCTCCTATTTAGGATGAGACTTGATTTCTTAATTCGCAAAATAAGACAGCAATAAACTCTCAAAAGGCTGCACAGCAAAAAGCTTTAAAGACTGTATAAGGGCTATTCCTACCGCTGTGCTTCTGACAGAGACCACGTATTCAATTCTTCTCCACGATTCACTCTCCCGAGGCTCCCTGGCTACAGCCTTCCCGCGGTCGCCCCCAGTCTGGTCCTAGAGACCAGTCACCTCCTTTCTCCCTTTCACTCCCAACAGGCCCTTGCCTTCCACGTGCCTACACTCCAAAAATCCCACTCCCTGTCCCGAGAGTTCTCTTACATCTTAAGCTGGACGTTGATATCCAGGTCACAACTGTAGATGTAGTGAAACTTGTCTGCTTCCCCCATCGCAACGTCGGCAAAAGCACCACCTACAGCGGGAACTTAAGCGTAGGAAAAACAACAAAAACGAACCGGCTGAGCCCCACAACACAAGGAACTTCCGGTTCCGCCCGCGCCTCTACGTAGCCAATCCCCGCCTGGAGCGAGTTCCGACGCGACGGAAATCCGCGCTGAACTATCGCTTCTGCGCATGCGCACAGGCGCCCACCATCTTGCTTCAGGGTAAAGGTATACGGGAAAACGGCTTATTTGGTTACATTCCAGTTTTCCTGTCCTGCCAGCGCTTTTTTTTTTTTTTAAAGACAGACGCTGTCACTTGAGCTTGAGCTGTACTTAATGCAAAAGAAAATTCAATTCAAAGAGAATTATAACAGCTTTCACTGGCTGCCGGCTAAACAGGTACAAGCACAAAAACTGAAATTTTGACATGTTTAAATTCCAGTGGCCTTCCCAAAAATTGTAGATTTGACCTAGTAATTTGCTATCTCAAGCAAGGATTTTCTCTAAAGAGTAGGGAAAGGACTAAATAGAGAACAAATAAATCTGGGTTTCATTTTTGGTGTTATTAATATTTATGCTACTTTGGACACAGTATTTGCGTGAATGTTTAAATTGGGTAGATTCAAATTCAGTGTAGGTTTCAAGCCTTAACCCAAGTTATAACCTAGAGGCTTCCTGTAGTAACTCTAGATCACAGATCTCTGAACTCTGTGAGCTCCTATATTTATTTTTATAATTATTATAGTCTAACGTTGTAATATTCGTTTCCAATTAGATTGAAAACTCTTGGAAGGTAAAAATAGTTTGCCATTTACTTCCGTGTCTTGCCCCCCTTGCTGTCTAATAAATTGCTGAGTTTAATACTTCCTACTTACTGGTTATTAATGATATTGAATGAAAGTTTCCATTTTCTTTTTTTAATTAATTTTTTTTTTTTTTTTTTTGAAGCACTATGGTTTGTAGAAAGTCTCCATTTTCTATGTCTTTCCGTTCTCTCTTTTTTTTGAGTCGGAGTTTCTCTCTTGTCGCCCAGGCTGGAGAGCAATGGCGGGGTCTCGGCTCACTGAAACCTCCGCCTCTTGGGTTCAAGCAAATATCTTCCTTCAGCCCCACAAGTGTCTGGGATTACAGGCACCTGGCCACTCCGCCCAGCTAATTTTTGTAATTTTAGTAGAGGCAGGGTTTCACCATGTTGGCCAGGCTGGTCTCAAACTCCAGTGATCCGCCGGCATCGCATTCCCAAAGTGCTGTCTATGTCTTGATTTATAAGTGCTGCATTTTAAGGTGGACATCACTAGAGTATGTGCGAATTAGAATGTAGAGGGATTCGAAAAATAATATTTCAAAGAAAGAGTGAAAGGTGTGGAGCTGTTTAACCTGGAAAGGGAAAAAAATGGCTGATGCTTTACACAAAATAAGTTCTCAAAAATATTTGTGGAAGCAAGAAAAAGATTTGGGTAGGATAAAGAAAAACGTGATAGTTAGCCTCCTATAATTTAAAGTTGAAACAAAAAGAGAGCACTTCTGATTTGTTCCTAAGTATAACTGCCACCAATGGTTGGAACTTAGAGGAAATGTAATTTCAACAAGCAATACAAACTGAACTAATTATCAGAGCCATTCAACAGTAACACAGTTGTCACAAGTGCTCTGTTTAAGGCATAACTCCGGCAATGAGTGTGAGGTTTCAGTGAAACCTCAAACTGGAATTAAATATTGACAATGTGTAAAGGACTAAATTATCCTATACCACTGGTGAATAAAATTACTTTCATTATATAATGACATTTCATGTATAAACCTAAGATAATATGATATACATATACAACCAAACAAATTTATAAATTAAATATAAAAATATCAAATTAACAGTCTTCATATAATAGTGGAGTTTTTTGCTGAAATTCTATTGCTTGCAAAGTGATTATGGAATATACTGTTGACTACTCTTCTAGGACTGATTCTTTGAAATTCAGCACATCTATACTGCTGTATTCTACATGGCAATTCATTTTTCCAGCCTCTTTTTTCTATTCAAATAACTATGAATTCTTCATTAGTATAACCACCATAATGTATTTTGGCTTTATCTTGGCTAAAACATACCTTTTTTGTTTTAAGCCTCACTTTGTTCTTTTCTCATTAGCTCATAACAATTAAAGTAATACCGATTGTTCCCAAAACAGATACAAACAACACACAGGTAAAGGCATGAAAATCAAATGTCAGTACTTAGTTATAACATATTCATACACAGATTCCAAGATGCATTAACTTTTTAAAGATTATCAGGAGAAAAAAATTAAAAATGTATTATAGAGGGATCTCAGAAACTTGACTGTGATTGTATTAAATATGTTAATACATTAAGAAAAACTAATGTGCCAATAAGGCACAAGATTTTGGTAAGTCATGGAAGCATGGAAAGAGTTATAGAAACCAAAAATGGTAGTGCCTTTTGTACCATAAGTCAGGAAGTATTGGTTGGTAGACTTGAGTACCAGAATTCAATTAGTAAGGCCATCTCCGCAAGGGGAAAAGAAGCCTTAGGCATCTTATCTTTTAAAGAGAGGAATGATTTTTTTCCTTCCCATGTGCATTTTTTACGAATCATGAATATAACATACACTTATAATTATGGGATACAGTTTGCATTGCAAGAGCCCACAGTGGCCTGTCTGCAGAAAAATAGCTTATAGCATTAGATGTTTTCTTTCCCTTTTTTTTTTTTTTTTTTTTTTTTTTTGAGATGGAGTCTGTCTGTGTCTCCCAGGCTGTAGTACAGTGGCAAAATGTCAGCTCACTGCAACCTCTGCCTCCTGGGTTCAAGCGATTCTCCTGCCTCAAGTCTCCTGAGTAGCTGGGATTACAGGCGCATATCACCCACCTGGCTAATTTTTGTATTTTTAGTAGAGATAGGGTTTCACCATGTTGATCAGGCTGGTCTCAAACTTCTGACCCTGTGATCCACCCATCTCAGACTCCTAAAGTGCTGGGATTACAGGTGTGAGCCACCATGCCTGGCCATTCTTGGTTCGGTAGGCCACTCCAATGATTATTATATGATCCCATATTTAACTTCCGTTGGAGTTGCATTTTTGGCTTTGTACTTCTTTTGTCATCTTGTTTTAATTTCTATTTTAATTATTCTAAGTAACCAGTTTTAATGATGGCTTAGAAATGCGTTGATAATGCTCCATTTCTTAAATTTTTTTTCTTTCTTTCTTTTTTTCCTGAGACAAAAAAAGACAACAAAAGAAAACAAAATTCTTCTGTAAACACTAAAAGACTAAACCCTGGAATGAAAAAGAAAAAGGGAGAAAAAGAAGAATTGTTCTCTTACATCTGCTTGGTTTGGGGCTGTGCATTAGTTTAAGAATTCTGAAAGTTAACATTGTTTCCAAGAAGAAAGGAGTGCTTATTGGGCTGGAAGTAAGATTTGAGAAGAGAACAGAGAAAGGCTCAAATGAAGAGAATGTATATAACAAATAAAACACTGGGGCTTCCGTCTTCTCAGAGAAGCCACTCCAACCAAGGTAGAGGGGTGGAACTCTGTCTCTCTTTCTGTCTAGAGATGACACAAAAGTGTTCTATACCAGGGCTCTTCACAGCTGTTAAGAGGAAACAGAGGCTTTCCAGGATCTCATAGAATATATAGAACTGAAGCAAAGTTTTAGTGGTTTTGAAATTATCACTTTTTATGTGTCTCTCAGTCTTTGTTTGAGGATATCATTTTTGAATATTATCTCACTCTGATGCTATATTCAGATTGTGTCTCTATATTCACCTTTGGTGGTAGAGTTGATTCTTATTCCTTGTGGTAGGTATGTTCTACAAAGTCACAGTAAACACTGCATTACCAAATACTGAACTGCTGCTAGGAAAATATTGGATTATGTTTCTGCCAGTCTCTGGTAATAAGATTTTCATTAAATGATAAATACATAAATGTGTTTTCTCTGTTTTCATATAAAGGCATTTTATTTAATATATATTGTAGATTTATTAACATTGAACTCATGTCCAGCAGCACTATAACTCAAGCCTGAATGAAGCCTAAGTAACACAGTTTTCTCCATAATGCATGTCACAGCTTTTTTTGCACTTAGAAACACCAGAGGGCACTTCTACCGCCACATTTGGAGGATGTTTTAAATGAAATCATCAACAAAAAGCACAGAAATACAAATATATGGCACTGAATAAACTCCCCAAAATGTACTTGTCAATAGTATGGGAGCTGAAACAAGAAAGCAGAATGTCACGTTGTTTGACCTCAGCTGGGAACATGCACATCAGACTTAAATTTTTCCCTCTGCACATGACCACAAATGGCCACTAGTATTGGTTTTGGCATTACAAATAGATTTCAGTGACCAAGTGAATTCACAATTATGGAATCTGAATACTGAGAATCAACTATATTTATTCTCAGAAAGAAACGAAGAGCTCTCTAGATCAGTGTGCTTATGATTCACTAGGGAATCTGACTAAAATGAAGATTCTGATTCAGTAGGTGTGGGCTTATTCAGGAGACCTGAGAGTTTGTTTCTAATGAGTGAGACTAACACTGCCTTGAGTAGTGCTAATCTCTATTTCCCATTCCTTTCATTTAGAGGCACAGAAATCGAAACCTGTAGAGATTAAAGTAAAATGCCAAGGGTCATGCTGATAACTATAGAATTGAAACTTGACTACAGTTTTCCCGAAGACTTCATAGAGGAGATGAACCTCTGTGATGCTAACAGGCACCAAGTTTAATGGTTAGGACATCCTAGGAATCTCTGACCTGCTTTGGCTGTTCTCTGCTTTTGCCTTCTCCATTCCTTTTCCAAACCTCTTTTGAGTTTCTTGAAGACTACCTCTAAGATATGGAGGGTCTTAAGACTTCTTTAAAGAAGCAGAGTTCTTTTCAACAACTCCATGTGGCAAAGAAAAAAACATAAAAGAGGCAGTTTTCTGATAGGATTTATAATAAGCTCAGATAAGAGTCCTAAGCTCAGATAAGAGTTCATTCCATTCTTTCCATAAGGCTTACATTCTACTACATAGCTCAATGAGTTGGACCTCTCCCTGTTCAAAACCCTTCAATGGCTAATCAC